AAATTTGTTAGTCTCTAAGGTGCCACAAGTACTCCTGTTCTTTTTGCGGATACAGACTAACACGGCTGCTACTCTGAATTCAGCATTACAGTACAGCAGTGTTTGTAGCCACTAGCATGTTTCATGTATGTGTCCCAAACTATATCCTATATCTCTCTAAATAAGAGCTCATAAAGTATTAAAACAAATCGAAGCAACAATCTGCAAACTGATACTTAGTAGCATGACCTTCCAAAAGAAAGACACTGGGTGGGGGAACTAAATCTTTCAGAGAAATGGTAATGAAATCCAGAACCTTTCACCTCTAAATTGGTAGTTCAAATCTAGTGTAGGTACAGAGTAATTGTCCTTTGACTCTGTCAAATGACTTAATGGTCAACTTATCTCCTAATGGATAATTGCCCATGTGGCCAAAATCACTACAGTTGGTACTGATTAACTTTTTGGGGGGGATAGTCTCAAAGGCAAAAGATTTGAATTGGCATGGAGACTGGATAGCTTTCTCTTGTGAAGGTAGTTCCTGCCACATCCATAAGGACAGTATGCTGCTGTTTTAAATTATCATAGTCCTGTGTGAATTTAGTGCCTCTAGCAAATGCTGAATTTACTTTTTAAAAGGTTGAGAGATTTTTTTAAATGGCTTTACTGCATTTAATATGTAGTATTATGTTACACAGAGGTAATTCTACATCTTGTTACAAAGAGAATGGAATATCAAAATATAAGTTTAGTACAAATATATGTTTATCAATGCAAATGTGTTCATCTCAGGATTATCTTTATCCTGCGCCACTTTTAAAAAAAAACTAAATATTTCCTCTCGTTTCAGAAATGTCTAAGCCCGATGGGCACAGGAAATAAAAGCTTCAAGCCTATAGATCTTAATGCTAGTGTCTAAAACAGTTGAGATTCCCTGTTGCCAGGTGATTTGATGTGGCTATGCAGAAAGCCAAGAGTTAACACTTGGATTGATGTCATGCTTTCAAGACCAATAGGACCATTCTTCTGTTGTTGTAACTGCCTTAAAAGCTCTAATAGCAATCCAGAGTTAGAGGTTTAACAGCTGGAAGAAATACAGTGGGAAACACTTGTAGTAAGCAAACAACTTATATAGTAGTGCCTGATGTCCCTTTAAGTAGATCTACAAGTGTGTTACATTTTATAGCATTTGACTGATCTCTGCATCACTATGCAAAATCATAGACTAGAGTGTCTTGATGACTTCCAATATTCATGTGTCATTGATAAGAAAAGGCACAATCTAAGAACTTCTGAGCCTTCAACATGTGCTAAAAGTTTGTTGGGAAATCTGTCAAAGCTACCACCGAATCAGGACCAAGTTTAACCTTTATATGCAGGTTACTGAGACTGTTGAGTTGTTTTAATATTAAAGCAAAATAAAGCTAATTAGCTTCAGCATGACTGAGGTGACCCTCACATTGTTATGGTTTGAATTAAGGGGGAACAGATTCTAAATCTGTAACACTTTCTGAAGTCAGGCAGGAATTTGACCGATCTGTTGCTACTGTGCAACAATGGTACCTTTTTAACAGGAATTCCATAGGGAGGTAAATACAAGTCCATTGGAAATAGGATTTCAAGGGAGGTACAGTTAATGGAGCATTCTTTAATATTTTTAATTTGACTTTTTTTTAAGCAGCACAAACTGTGACACATCCAACTTTGTGTACCTAATTTTTACTGTATCTGTTTTGTGCATTCTATTAAAAATCTTACATTCTCTGAAAAGTTGAAGTGAATAGTTTTGGTTAGACTGATTAGTACTTTCATTATTTCTATGTGGTTTTGCTTTAGCAAATTTACTAAATTCTAAAAGCAATCTGGAGCTGGGGCAGGGGAAATCCTCGCTTGCTTTTATATTCATATGTTAAAATGTCAGGTTCAGCATGTATTTGTGGGTTTGCTGCATAGTTTGATGTTCTAGAGTAAGCAGGGTTTTACAAATGGGATTGCTTTTTGTATCATTGCTACAGGTTCATTTGATAGGGTGAATATTAACAGTGTCATATATTTGCTTAATTCTTGGAGAGCTTTTCTTCTCTATTTGTATAGATAGAGTGGATTTATAGGGGGGATGTTTTAGAGATTGGCTCTTTTTTACCCACAGAGATGTTTATGCACATGATGGATCCATATATGTGTTCCCATTGCTGGCCTTTGAAGTGCAAGTAAGCTACACAGATTGTATCCTCCTCACAAAACTTTTTAAAGATCTTCATTGAGAAGTTCTTAGCTTACATATAAATGAGGAGGAGTACTTGTGGCACCTTAGAGACTAACAAATTTATTTGAGCATAAGCTTTCGTGGGCTACAGCCCACTTCATCAGATGCATAGAATGGAACATATAGTAAGAAGATTATATATATATATATATATACACACACACACACACATACACATACAGAGAACATGAAAAGGTGAAAGTTGCCATACTAACTCTAAGAGGCTAATTAATTAAGATGAGCTATTATCAGCAGGAGAAGAAAAATTTTTGTAGTGATAATCAAGATGGCCCATTCCAGACAATTGACAAGAAGGTGTGAGGATACTTAACATGGGGAAATAGATTCAATTTGTGTAATGACCCTGCCACTCCCAGTCTCTATTCAAGCCCAAGTTAATGGTATCTAGTTTGCAAATTAATTCTAGTTCAGCAGTTTCTCATTGGAGTCTGTTTTTGAAGCTTCAGAAAAGCTTTGAATTAAACTAGAATTAATTAACTATATGTTACTATATGTTCCATTCTATGCATCTGATGAAGTGGGCTGTAGCCCACAAAAGCTTATGCTCAAATAAATTTGTTAGTCTCTAAGGTGCCACAAGTACTCCTGTTCTTTTTGCGGATACAGACTAACACGGCTGCTACTCTGAAACCTGTCATATAAATGAGGGTTCTTGGAATTAAACTACATTGGCATACAAAATATTTATAATTTTCTTTTGGTTAGCAGCAGGTCACAAGGCATCTGTTCAGAAGTACTTTAAATTCCTTTTTTTGTTTCTAACCTATAACTACCTGATTACTGTCCAGAGTGGTGTAACATTACTTGCATATAGAAGTACTAGTACCAGCTCAGTGTTGTGTCTGCACCTTTGTTCGATAGTGAGATCCCTTTGTCCATTTTATAATTTGCGATTCCAAATGCACAGTTGTTCCTTGTTTTAGAATTGTTTTATAGATGTGAGGGGAAAGTTTTAAATGCTTAGGACTCTTTATGAGAGATTTGTTCCTTATCTCAGCTGCTTTATTTTTCTCAGAGTAAGTGCTTAATACAAAAAGTGTTATTTAAAATGTCTTGCATAAATACATGGGTGGTTGTAGTACAGGGGTAGGCAACCTATGGCACGCGAGCTGATTTTCAGTGGCACTCACACTGCCCGCGTTCTGGCCACTGGTCCGGGGGGCTCTGCATTTTAATTTAATTTTAAATGAAGCTGCTTAAACATTTTAAAAACCTTATTTACTTTACATACAACAATAGTTTAGTTATATTATAGACTTATAGAAAGAGACCTTCTAAAAACGTTAAAATGTATTACTGGCACGCGAAACCTTAAATTAGAGTGAATAAATGAAGACTCGGCACACAACTTCTGAATGGTTGCTGACCCCTGCTCTAGTACATCTGGCCAAATGAGTATCCTGTCTTGAGAATTTTATGTATAAGACTTACAAAGTATAAGACTAAAATATGAATTAGACTCATTTTCTGTGAAGATATATTTTTAAAACTGCTGTTTTGGTCTAAAAACATGTTTTAATTTCATGGCAGTTTTAAAATGACAGTAGAAAGTTCTTTAACTTTTTATTTATCTGAATGTAGGCGTATAGTATTTATTTGCAGAGAAGGGGGTATGAAATACAGCAGTAACCAACTTTTTCACACTGCTAGCCAAAATCTCCCCTCCCCTTTTAAATAAAATTAATATGCTTCAGATTTGCCGGTACATACACAGCCACAGCAGTTTTATCAAATGAAAAGCTGTCTTGCTATGAAAATGGTGAATTTTTGCCAAGGGCAAATATGTGAAAATATGACAGTCCAGAGCAGGAATTTCACCTTCCAGACAGGTGGTTGGCAGAGTGTGGATAATTGATGTGATCAAAATTAACTTTGTCAAAATGGTAGCATTGATGTTTCTGTGCGGTATATTTAGAGAGCTGTATATCAAGTGCATTTTGAATTTTTGCAGGTTGGGAGATCAACAGAAAGCCCTATAGACTTTGTAGTAACAGATACAATTTCTGGCAGTCAAAACAATGATGAAACTCAGATCACACAAAGCACCATATCCAGGTTTGCATGCAGGATTGTCTGCGATAGGAATGCACCGTATACAGCAAGGATTTTTGCAGCAGGATTTGACTCTTCTAAAAACATATTTCTTGGAGTAAGTACTATTGATCGCTATGTTATCTACAAGCAAAAATAGCCTCTATGCCATATGACTGATCTAAAAAAAAAAAAGCACAAGAATTTGCTTATTACAAATTGTGTATATTGCCATTGACTTTGGTGCCTAGGTTTATTAAAATCTCTGTAATTCTATTATTTGAAAAATGTATGGGAACTTCAAATTTATTAGCCAAATTTATTGCCACTCTGTGAACTCTTCACGGTGGCTTCTACCTATCTTAAATATCAGAGTCTAAATTAAGTGGCCTTTTGTTTGTTTGTTGAAAAGACTGGCAACAGCTCTTCAGGGCGCAACATAAGTTCTGACGAGACATTCACCATTAATTAAACTTACAGAGGGATTGTTTTGGCTATATGAGTGCTAGCTACCAAGGAAAGATATAACAGCCACCCAGTATAAGCCACAGTAAACACTGTAATTTATATAAACTATAGTGGTTAACAGCATCTTCATGATTTAAGTGTTAGCTGATATGTCTGTAAAGCCAACATAGTGATTGCACAAGCATCTCATGTGTGACATTTGGTTTATTGAGTTAGAAGTAACAATTTTCTGCAAAAGTTTAAATACTGGTTAAAAATGTGCAGCTAAATCTCTTGCTGCTTTGAAAATATCACCCACCAGCCTTAAAATTCACCAACAGTGTTCTTCACCCTTATAAACACTAACTGTGCTGGTGAAATACTCTTGAGGCTTTGAAAGTAAAAGGCTGCCTTCTTTCCCATTGTTGTGGTGTTACATCTAGGAAAAAGCAGCAAAATGGAAAAATCCTGATGGGCACATGGATGGATTAACAACCAATGGCGTTCTGGTCATGCATCCAAAAGGAGGGTTTACCGAAGAGTCTAAACCTGGAGTGTGGCGGGAAATCTCTGTCTGTGGTGATGTATATACTCTACGAGAAACCAGATCTGCTCAACAAAGGGGGAAGCTAGTAAGTTGAAAGTGCACAGTTATTCAAAACCAAAGTACTACTAACATAGGAAATCCTCTTTTTTTTTTTTTTTTTTTCTGGCACTGAGAACTGTCATATTAGAGGTGTGCAGTACATGAAGTACAGTATTGTTTCTGAGCATTGTCACGCCTAGCACTGGGGTAGGGGATCACTGAACGAACACACACACACACACACACACACCCCACTTAAAGATAGAAGAGACAGGGAGGGTCCCTTGTGGGAGATCTGAGCAGGTTACTGAGTCAATCCTGAGAAGGGAGCTCTACTGCTCCTCCTCCAGCTGCCTAAAGACCCCCAAGAGGCCTGGCTGTCCTTTGATCTGCCACTAGCAGGGAGAGGGAAAGAAAGCAGGGTCCCCATACTACCACCAGGCCTTTGAGGGGAGGGGTTTGCACATCTCAACATCTATTCTGGTTTTTTTGCTACAGTGCTCTCCTTCCCAGCTCTTCATCTGTCTCTTCCTTCCTTTTTTCTAAGGAGGGGTCAGATGTAACTATTCAGCCATCAAGCTGTTAGACTCTGAGGATTGGGGGAAGTGTAGGTAATAATTTTCCAGCCCCCACTCATCCATTTTCAGCCTAATGTTTTTTCTTACTGGGCAACCCATTCTTCCCCTCCTCCCCACTCTATGGCCACACTCCTACTGCGTCTTCCCACTCTGGGGCTCAAGAGATTCTTTTTCTGCACCCTTTGCCTCCCCTCCCTCCATCGCTGACTGTTATGGATATCTGGGGGAGACGACTGATGCTCCCTGTCTGGGTTGCTTAGGACTGCAGCTCTTTAGAAGCAGGAATCCTCCCCTTCTGAGTAGGCACTTGTTGTTCCCCCAGGTATTCCTACCTCTTGCAACAACGCATTGACTTATTAATTCTAGTTTGGTTGTAACTGATATAAAAAGAGAGAGCACCATATCCTGGGCTGTGGGTGCCTTTGCTATATTCAAAAATACAATGACAGAATAGAATTGTACAGTTAGCAAAACACCTTTAGTGCTGCTGAAGACAAGCGGTTCTAGAATAAGTAAGTCTCCTCTTCCACAGATAAAACAACTTGCCTTCTTATTGTAAATAAAATTACATGGCATACTGGTTAGTACTGCTGTGAGCAATATTCTTTGAGTGAATTCATAAAAAGGAATCCACCAAGTTTGCAATGTGTTCAGTCCATGATACCAAGAAACCTTTCCCTTTTCTGTTTGTAAAGAATTCTCTGACTCCTCATTTGATGAGCTTCTGTTCTGATCACTGAGCTTCGTACCTTTAGCACTTGCTGTAAATTACCTTTTATCAATAGATTATTGTATCGTTCTCTAGGGTTTTTATAGGGATGATTTACTGTTCTTAATCCACAAATTTGGGCTAAATTAATATATCAAGTGTGATCACTCCTCCTGCCAGCCACACTTATTGAAGTGCTCTGTTTAATATCCAGGATATTTATTTGATATGACAGTACTGGATGTTCCACCCCTTAGCAATGTGTAAAGCTGATGCTGGTTAATTATACACTTCTCAGTCCTGAGAAGCAGTCTGTTCTCAGTTAATGTCACACACACATTTTAATGTGCATTCATCATTTCAAGGGTGGTACCAACAGCGCAAGTTGCCTATATGTTTGTGACATTAAAACAAATTAGAGAAAGCTGCACCGAAGCTGCTGTTTTGTTCAATATATTCTCTCAAAATGTTGCATAATCACCTGCTTTCATTCAGAAGAGAAAATGAGAAGTTTTTAGACGGTAAATCTTATGCTGTGGTTTGTACACAATGCCTGTTTATACACTAAGAGCCTGATTTTTCAGAAGAGCGGAGTGCCTTCAGCTTCCATAGACTTCAATATGCGTAATAGGTGCTCCTCGCTTCTGAAAATTGGGGACTAAGATTTAGTTGTCAGTTACTTTTATGCTCGAGTATTAAACTTACAAAAAGTATTTGTGAATTTGGCTAGCACTGGTATCTGCAATATAAAATGTCACTTGCCCGCCCAAACAAAGGAAGCAAAATGCAACAGAAAGCTCTGAAGGAGTGATACAGCTGACTATCTGGTACACAACTCAGAATGAAGGAGTGGGAACTCTCTAAATCCTATCAGAACTGTCTGTAAGTAAAACAGACAACCATAGAGAAAATCCATGCTAGAGAGAGACCCAGGGAAGATCCATACTAGAAGATGAGAAAGAAAGAGACATGGTAGGTATGAGAGAGATCCCTGCATCAAAGGAGTAGTGGGGGAGGGGAGGATAATTTCCAGAGAAGTTATTCGTAAACAGTCTGAGGATTTTACCAGAGAATTGTGGGAGTGAATGGTATATGTTGAGGAAGAGGAGTCATTAAAAGAATTAGCTAAGTTGTCTGTAAAAGATCCATCTCAAATTTATGTCTGTGTTGTACCTCTAGGTAGAAAATGAGACCAACATCCTACAAGATGGCTCTCTCATTGACCTGTGTGGAGCCACTCTTCTGTGGAGAACAGCAGATGGTCTGTTTCACACACCGACTCAGAAACACATTGAAGCTTTGCGACAGGAGATAAATGCTGCTAGGCCACAGTGTCCTGTTGGGCTGAATACTTTAGCGTTTCCCAGCATTAACCGTAAAGATGTGGTAGAAGAGAAACAGCCTTGGGCTTACCTTAGCTGTGGTCACGTTCATGGCTATCACAACTGGGGACATCGCAGTGACACAGAAGCCAATGAGCGCGAGTGTCCTATGTGCAGAACCGTTGGTCCCTACGTGCCTCTTTGGCTTGGTTGCGAGGCAGGGTTTTATGTGGATGCTGGTCCTCCAACTTATGCTTTCACCCCTTGTGGACATGTGTGCTCTGAGAAATCTGCAAAATACTGGTCTCAAATCCCACTGCCTCATGGTACTCATGCATTTCATGCTTCCTGCCCTTTTTGTGCAGCACAGCTGACTGGGGAACACAACTGCGTCAAACTAATTTTTCAGGGTCCAATTGACTGATGCCATTTTACAAATGACCACAATAACATTTTCTTTAACAATTTACTGTGAAGATTTTGCCACTAACTCTAGATTTTACCTTTTTATAATACTGTTATTACTGGGGAGGTGGGGGGGTAAGGGGCCTGACGGGGGATGAAATGGGGATACATTGATACCTGGAACTTGACAGATATCAGTGGTGTTGCATGCTCATCAGCGGCATATTCATGAAGTCTTCTTGATCAAATTGTAGTATGTTTGTAATAATCTTTCTATTAGTACCCTCGATCAGAAAAAAAAAAGTCAATGATTTTTTTTTAATCTTGGATTTTTTTAATGGAAATTTTTTTCTTCTAAACTTTGACAAGCCTTTAAAAACCTATTTTTTCAAATCTAGAAGGAACATACAGAATGTAATTTTGTCTTTAATTTGCAATATAATTAACTTGAATAGTTTCTCAAAGAGTTAATATGGAATGTGTGGGCAAACATAGGTGAATGTTAACTAGACACAACTATCAATTTGGATCATACGTGAAAGGTTAGCTGCATAAATTGTAGCATATAAATGCTATTAAATTACCTGTTATGGTATAATGCAGTTGGCCAAAAAAGCATCAAGGATTACTTGAAACTGGGGAATTCCTGTTTGCTTTGATTTCTTTTCAGTGTAGTGGATATCCAGTGTTCATGAAATACAGTATATGGTTGATTTTTTTTAACCTGCATTTTGTGAAATTGAATTACTTTTACACATGTAAAGTTGTTTATACCTTTTTAAAGAGAGAGTTTCTGTATATTTGTAGTCCTGCCTTTGCTTTCTTTCTGCTTAATGTGGCTTGCCGTTGCTGCTCACCTTGCATGCCTGGAACTACTGGGTTAATTAAGATGAAGCAACCCTTAAAGAATTGCATTAATGAAGGGGTAGCACTGCAGCAATAGAAAATAGGTTTAGGTGCTGTTATACCGAATTGATGCACATAAACCTAAATCCAGCAAGGCATTCTAAGCACATGCTTAACTTTAAGCACATCATTAGCCCTTTTGACTTCAGTGGGGCTTAAGTGCGTGGCTGGATTGGGGCCATGCTGTCTTCTTTTGAAATCAAAAAGTGATTAAAAATAAGCTACTGGTTTTTTTAAGCTCACTTACATGATACTAGCCAAAATGCTATGAGGAGAGCATCCTTCCATAATTTAACTGTAGTTTTTGTTTGACTTACTGCCATCTTTCCTTGCATTTTTGAGAAGTGCTGGAATCTATTTTTATTTAAAATGTTTGCAAATCAAACAGAATTCAAATGTAATCATTAAATACACACAATAGAGTAGATTGCTCATCTGCAGATGAACAATCTGAAATTCCTGATGTTTAAGAGAAGAAATAGGTGTTTACTAGGGAAATAATTAAATCAGGATTTCATGAAAGATCTACCATCCCACTCTACCAGCTTCATTTGGTTGAGAATAATAATAATTCTTGATCCTTGCTCTCTGTAATCTAGGTATCTGGGGTATCAGTCTATCCAAGTTGAAAGACTTTGGGAGAAAATCAACAAAAGGTGAAACTGATTATTCAAAACTCAGTTCTGTTAAAGTGATGACTATATCACTTGAAATTTGCTATATTTGTGCCCTTTGTATAAATATATAATTTATATGATTTTAATATATTGTGTATATACTTGAATTGGCCTGTTCATATTTTGGTTGTCAAATTGTTTTATAGTTAACCTTATAAACATTTAAAATGTCCCTGGCCTATGGTGGTGGGACATATTATTTTGTCTGTTGCTGTTTAATATAATTTTGCTGTGTAAAAAAGTTTGGAATTTTAATCATTTGAAAATAGCTTTACGTCTATTTTTAAACGTTATTTTCGTTTTGCCGTAAAAGGTGGTATTCATTCTGCAGCATTCCCTGTACAAATTCCAAATTGTACAGTTCGCTTGTCTCACTCACTGGTTGGAAAGGAGACAAAGCTTGTTAGTCTAGAACTATACACTTCTTCCTAGTGCCTTTTCAGTGAGATCCTTTTGTGATTCCATGTTCCAGGTCCTTCCACAAGGCAGCCTTGTGGTTAATGTCCTACCAAGAAGGACAGCCCAACCAGATAGAAAAAAATGCCGTTAGCCTTCATTTCTCTGCCATGGTTTGTGGCATAAACATAAGGGTGTAACTGTCTCTTCCCTTCCCTAGCTGTCTTCAGTATAAATTCCTCAGGTTCCACTTGCATTCTGCAGCATTTGTTCTACTTAGCATATACCTCATCTGTGAGAAGCAGACTCCACCCTGTTCTGTTGAACTGTCTCTGTTAGCTAGAGAGCTTTTGTCATGAGAGAGGCCACAAAATCAAACTTTCAGGAAATGTACATTGTTGTCTCAAGGTCACAAGAGTTAACGCTTGGCAGTAGAGATTAACAGTGGTAGTCAGAGCCCTAGATTTTGAGATCTTTTGCACTCACAGGACTACAATATGCTTCACATCCCTAGATAGTAACTATTTTGGCAAGCGGCAAGTGTAGTCTCCCCATGAGAGTTAATGGACTGTAGTCATAAAAGTTCCCAGGCACCTCCATACCAAGCCTCTTTACGTTCCTCCTTCGCCATTATAATCTAGATATGGGAGCTGATATCCCCCCCACCTTGCCCAATCACATACACCTGTACAAAGTGGGTATAAAATGCTACAGTTTTGCACACTCACCTTGCCATGGTGTAAATGACTCCTTAGGTGCAAGACTGTGGAGTTTCAGGCCTATGACTTTCAGCTGCAGAGGTATCACTTGAAAGACTATGTCCAAACTCTCTTGTTCCCATCAGGCTTGGATTAGCGCAAGAAATGCTGCAAGAAGGGAAAATAGTGTCTTACCAGTGAAAGCAACTTCTAGAAGTTCATTTGTATAAATCCAGGTACTCTCCCACTGACCAGTAGTTGGAATCAGAGGGAGTCTCTTTCTCTTCTCTCTCTTCTCCCTCCCCCCGCCATCCCCTTTCATTGCTTTGGAATTAAATTGGGGGGAAATCAGGTTTTCTGAATTAATGAAATTGTTCTGTATCTCTGATACATACATACAAAGGAATTTGCAGAAAATTCATCTTTAGACAGAAAACAAATGTTCTTTTATTTAATGATTTAAATGACCATCCCATCAGACCTGTCAGTGCTTTTGCATATCCCTCAACAGAAGTCAGCAATAATAATAGTGTTCCATGAGTAATATTTTTACCAGTTACTGCATCAGTTTCATTTGAATGAGTCAAAGCTGTTTGAAGCACAACTCTACTTAAAGTATTTTTTTTTGTTTTTAGTCTCTGCTTCTCAGTTCTTGTATGCTGCGGCTCTCACGTTCTCCTTTTTTCAGGCAGTTTTTTGGAAGGAGGGCTAAAGTCTACACTGAAGACTCAGTATTAAGTTGTCTGTTCTTGAATTGTGGTCCAAATTAAGCAAAATCTTTTAGTACAGTAATTCATATTAATTATGCCTCAGTATTTAATTATGAAGTATGGTACCTTTGTGCCTCAGAGTAGCCTGGCATAGATGGTTAGAGAAGAAGTTCTTTGGGATGTGGGTGGAAAGAAGGAGAAAGCCATTAACAAACGACTGGCTCTATTAAGAGCAACAAACCGATTCTGACGCAAAACAGGACATAAACATGTTTATAGCCATTTTGATTTTCATGCATCTCTTGGTTGATTTTCCAAACTTGTTTAACTTATTACATAGTCAAAAATTGAAGAGAATCCTTTTTATAGACCGGTCCAACAACGTTTTATCTTCACTTCGTTAAGAAAAAAACCTTGACACTCTTGTTGCTGCTTTATGGGTTGGGGGAGGGATTTTTTTGTACTCTTTATTTCTCACTCTGGAATTTGAGAATCCTGTTTTAGAATATGGCCAGAAAGCAGAGGGGGTGGGAGTGGGATGCTGCCTAATCTTCCTACTTAAATAACTCAGTGTTTTTGAGAGACTACATAGTGTCTTTATATAATTATTTTATATATTTACACACACAAACATACTAAAATAGCCAAACCATGACTATTGGTTTGAGCTTTGATAGCTCTCTGTTTGGGGCTGCCGCAGCAGCTAAGTTACTTCCTTGCCCACAATTTTTTAAAGTCTTAAGCATACTACGGGAAATGGAACTTCTTCAAAATAGAGCCCTACAAGAGAAATCCACTTTTATCTCCGATGTTGTTAAGCCTTGACATTAAATTCTAGTGCAGAAGACCAGCCAAAAAGAATTCATCATCTGGCCATCATCATTGCTAATGGATGGCACTGAAATGCATTCCAGCTTGGTAACAAAGCTGTCTCCGATACAGAACTGCTTTGCCGCGTCTCCGACTTATATTAAAGGTGGGAGCTGCAAATGGCAATTTAAAACAAGATTTGTGCCCCTTTTTGATTCTCTCTGATCGTTACAAAAGATTGAGAGGATTTACTCCATATGAGCAATGTCAAGTCTTGTCTTCCCCAATTTTGTGGATGACTCTGATGCCAGGTGGGAGCTCTCACCCATTAATTGAAGTACAGAAGTGTTGAACCTAAAACGCTTAAGGGAAAGAAAATTGTCTTTAAGCACTTGAGTTTGAGATATTAAAAAAGCCAAATAGTTTGAAATATTCTGGCTAAAATCTCTTCCTCTCTCTGATGCTCAGTTTACAGCTTCTTGTGGTATTTTAATTCCTCTTGTTCTCCATTCATATAATTATAGGGTAGACAGTGCAAGAAAACCAGTGTGTTTTGTGGAGGGGTGGTGTTTTAAAAAACAAACCCTTTCAGGATTGCTTGATCACAAAGAAGCAAAGAGGGGCACGGACTTCTCTCTTTTGGCAATTCTTTAATTCCCATTTATAATGGTTTGCATTGTAAGTAGTCCCCAAAGCTGGTACTAGGAAAAGTGAAGGGTAACCCTATTCATTCAGGATCAATTTCTGACTTCCTTACACAAACAAAACTTGTACCCAGATTCTGTGGTCCTTATGCAAGCAAATTCACATTGACTTCAGCATTAGTTTTGTTCTTGAAAAGACCACAGTATCTGGCCTTTTGTTCCTATAGATGGGGGCTGGGGTGTATAATATTACTTTCAGCGCTAGTTAAAGACAT